GTGGCGGCCAGCAGGAAAGGCTGGGGTCCCCCCGAGCAGGGCCTTGCTCCCGGGGGCAGCAGGAGGTGTGGCCGTGGGGGCAGCCAGTGGCCCTCGCACTGCAGTTCTCACGCTTTCCCCTCCCGACCCCAGGCTGTGCTCTCCTCCTTGTTACCACCTGCATGAGGGTCCCTGCGCCAAAGTCCGCGGGAAATGGTGTGTGGGTCTGTGTGTTACAAGCCCTCCAGCCAGCCTAGCCCCCAGAGTGGGGGCAGCCAGTGGCCCTCGCACTGCAGTTCTCACGCTTTCCCCTCCCGACCCCAGGCTGTGCTCTCCTCCTTGTTACCACCTGCATGAGGGTCCCTGCGCCAAAGTCCGCGGGAAATGGTGTGTGGGTCTGTGTGTTACAAGCCCTCCAGCCAGCCTAGCCCCCAGAGCTGGGTATGAGCCAAAACTGTAATTTTCATAAGGCAATGCAGGCAATTTGGAAAAAAACCTCCACTTTTTCATGAAACTTGATAGGAAATTTTCCAAGCTGTTTCAGGAAAGGAAAGAATTTGGCTTGGAACTGCTGTGTCAAGTATGTCTTACTGGTGAACATCTAATAGTTTTCACTCTAATTTAAAAACTTCCCACAAAAAGCTTAAGCTTTGCAGAAACAAAAATCTATCAAGAAGATTCACCAGTTGGTAATCTGCTGCTGTGCAGTGCATATACAGCCTTGTAGCAGAAATTAGATTATTCTGTCATTCTGCATCTACTAGTTGAGGATTATATTTGTCACAGTGGACACCACAGAAAACCACCATATGGCTTGCAAGCTCTCATATAATACATTTACAGCACAAAGATTCTGCTTTGCTTTGAGACTAGTCTACAGGAAAGTCTTGGGAGGCCACAACTAATTCTACTCTGCAGCTACAGGAACAGCCCAGACCTGGGAAAACTGAAAACAGCTTAGGACCATCCTCCAGAACGCACAGCACAGAACACTACTGCCTTACATGTCTGACAGTTGCACAACATGTGCACAACAGCCTTTCAGGTAACTGTTTGGAAAGGCAGACACAGAGTACTTTTGCTTGTGGTTTCCGTGTCTATTAGAAATGCACTCTAAGCTCACTAACTCGCAATGCTTGAGACCCAAGGCGGATGTAATTTTATTTTATACTGATTTTGGCTGTTCTGAAGAGTAGGCAGAGTCATCATCCATCAAGACTTTAGGCTGTCATCTAAACATCCCATACTAATACATTTAATAACTGAAAATACAGATTTATAAATATATAATAATGTTGAAATTTGTGTTGAAAACAAACAACAACAAATCCTATCCCTGTACAAAATACTATTTTCCAGTTTCACATCGCAAGTAGGAGATCAAAAACAAGAAATAGCGATTTATGCTAGCCAAGCCATCCCTGGCTTGTATATATCACTTTACCTCTCCATTCCAGTCATCGAAGCACGCGTTCCCCATGGATATGGCCACAGTAAATACCTTTTTAAATTTCACTGAACTCTGTCCTCCTAACATGAGCCAAATTTGATCCTTCTGATGCAGAGTGCTCTGCTAGTGATAAGCACTCTATACGCTGAGCTACTGAACATCGCATTTTACAGAACAGCAACATCTGATTATGCTTGCTCCCTACCAACTGGAAAAAAAGACCTCTTTCATAGATCGAGATGGACAGCAGAACAGCTGAATAGTAATGCGATTATTCTGAAGTGCAGAACCTCAGGGAATCTAAGAAAGTCAAAGTCTAGCTCTCACCACTTCCTGATGATCAGTAAGGTGAACAGTAATTTCAGTTACACAAGATTTGTTTTAAAACCAGAAGAGCATTTTTCCCTCTTGTTCAAGACCAGTCACTTAGAAAAAGCTGCACGGCACTTTAAAGAGATACTGAATACCAAAAAACCAACACCTCTGTGTAAATCTTCACTGACATCTTTTTAGTCATTTCTACATGTAAGATTGCTGTACTCCAGGGTTGATCTTCTAAATACTCATTCAACAACTGAAAGTAAATCACCGTTATTAGCAGAAGCACTTTGCGAGAACGCGCCATTATGCTCCAAAACATGAAAGCCCTCTCTCAGCTGCACACCTCACGTTACAGACCTATGCTGACTTTTCTTTCAGGATCTTAATACATTTATGTTCAAACAGGGTTCTACCCTGCAATAAATTGCATAACATTATAAATGTCAAATATACAATATTATTGAGAATCATACATAAATGGAAAAGGCAAATATAACAAAAAAAGAGCAACATCAAAGACCCTAACGTTCATTAGTAAAACTCTGAGATGTGTACATACTATTCTCCATTCCTGTAATGACTGAGCATTATCTACCGCTTTGCTTTTATTTACTTACGAGGAGTCTCCAGACTACAATTTCAGGAAGCTGAGGTATGAGACATTAAATTGAGCTACCGACCTCAAGTTCCCTGCACAGTGAGTGGTGATACGGTTGTTAAAATTCAAGATGTGATCCACATGATCAAACCCCCTGGGGTCTAATTTTGGACAGGATAAACGATCTTCATTTTTATGAGAGCTGATGTAAGTCAAACGACACGAATTCCTTTACCTGAATGACAATGAACGAGACTCTGAGGGCACGCAGCTGGCATGCCACAATCATCAAGAAAGAAGGGTGCATGCCACTAGGCTGCACAGGAAGGCCACCTTCCAACGGGGTTACTGAGACAGAACTGGGCTACGACCAAAGAGCATCACAGATTCTTCCTGTGTTCTGTTGTTCTATATATCAGGAACAGTCCAAGACGTGAGCTGCACAAAACTGTGTTTCAGCTGGTCTTACACCCTTTTTGGCTTGATCTCTGAACATTTCACCCTGCAACTAAGGATCTGGTCCTTGCTTTGTGAAAAAAGCATCTGCATATACGGAAGACAACGTAGATTTGCAATAAGCATGCCGATAAACATCGTTAGGGCAGCAATCTCTTACGGCCCCGCAAAGTCCTACTAAGTTACCTAAATTGGATCTGTACAAAACAATTATACAAAAAGGACTGTTCTTCCTGAAAGTGACAAAACCAAATTATGACTTTAGGGTAAGACAACTCTTTCAGGTCAGCAGTCTCGAATGCAGTTTATCAGCAACAACTCCTATTGCTTCTGGTCTTAAGAGAGGCAATCAGAGTTCATTTTTCAAAGTCTGGCAGGAAAATGATCTTCCAGTTTCACCTCTAGAGCGCACACACTTGGAGGGTTCTTCTGTAACTCAAGATTGCCAGTAGACTGAGTCAAGGCCTCAGCGTTTATTTTTAAGGCTTTCAGCTGTATCCTGTCATCACCGTCTTCACCATCAGAGACGGGACTTATTTCTTCAATTTTCAAGAGATCGCCAGTACTGCAAGTCTTCTTTATGTTACTGGAACTCATTCCAAGGGCTCTTCTTGGAAGGTCTTCCTTTCTCAAGCTAATCTTCTGATGTTTAAGAGAGAGCTTGTTTTTCTTTCCTGCAACATCAATACAGTCAAGTGAATAAGGCTGTTCTCTTCTGCCTTTATCATCGACAGGACTATTCAAAGGAGATGATAGGGGCAGGTTGTCTTCTTGCTCTTTAACACTGTAAGGAGGAGTGGGAACTTCAAACGTAGCATGAAACTGAGAATAATCCACACGGAAAAAGCCATCTTCTAGGGACATTACCGGGAGGAACCTGTGACCCCAAAGAACTTCATCTTCTGTATATGATGTCCTAGCTTGACACGTCATTCCTACAGAAACAGAGACAAGAGCATGGCATTCTAATGTGAGCAAGCAGACTGGCATATGGAACAAAAATACAAGGTAAGCCTGACGGATAAAAATCAATTGTAACCTGTCAGCTAACAAATTTATAGATTAAAAAATGGAGCGATCTTACAGTTTGTATGTAAAAGTCTTTACTGGAAGCCACCATGGGAGAAAGAACCATTGCCTGGCTAAGGCTTACAGAATTCTCCGGCAAAGATCAGGTGTGGGGGGAGCCAAAGCTAAATGAGAAATTTAATTTTCTGTGCCTTCTATAGGCTAGGCTACTTTTTTTCAAAATAGCATGTCAAGACAAAAGCTGTGCAGAGACACTGCAGCTGTCTTCCATGCTAAGACATAGGTTCCGCTGTAAAGCTTACAGAAGAATTTGTTCCACTTAATGCAAACATACATTATTGGCAGTATTCACATGTGTGAACTGACAGCTAAAATGTGTTCTAACCAAGCCAACAAATCTGTTACAATCTCAGTGCAACAGTGCTGATGACAGTTAATACCAACATCCCAGGTGAGTAGAACTTTACTGTCACTGTACTCTTCAGAGGCAGAATTAGCAGTCAGTAAGCCCATCACCACTACATTAATTCTCTGACAAGTGTAAAATGTTTCCCTTCCGATACCCAGTTAGGCAATTGCATTAAGTGCAGTTATGAATGCATGTTTATCTAAGATACGTGGTTCAGTTGTGGGATGAGAAGAGGCTTCTGTGGGGATCTAAAGACTGTCGCACTTGACGTGAACTTTTCAGGGCTAGGTCCAGCACGTGCATGATAACCGGTCATTTTGTTTCCTGTCTGGCATGAGATGACTGCACTTGGCTGTGCCAAAAGGACATTACTGTTTCTTTCTAAGGCAGGAACTGGGCAACCAGTAATCTTGTTGAAAGAAGGATTAAAATGCTCCTTGATTAATCAAAGTTTAACAAATCATCAAAAGAAGGGAGAGGAAGATCAGAATATCGATGAACATACTGAATGATCTGGACTTCAACAGTACGCATGGATCCTTGACACAGAGCTTCTTTTGTAACCGCAGTGCATTGCCAAGGGATTCATAAAAGAATTAAGTACTTAAATGACAAGGCCACAATGTCAGCTGTCATCTGGACAACACTGTATCAGAATTTAAAATTAAACAACAACAAAAAAAGCCCTGGTCGTATTTGCCAATAACCACGTGTTCCTACAATCTTTACGTCTAGGTCGTCTGTATTTCTACCGTAAAACTGCATTTGTTATTTTGCATTCAATTTAATGCAAGCTAGGCTGGAAGTGATTTTGCAACACTCACAACTTTTAAAGTTCAACGTTCTTTCAGAGTAGTGGTCCTTACAACAAGAGTCTCTTAAGGGTGCTGTACTCCTCTACATGCCATACTCAAAGAATGGCAGGGTGCAGCTCTTCTTGGATGTATTGGGCACTTTGGGCATCAGAAAAGCAGACCCCCTACAGGGAAGAGAGGTCTCCCATTGGCTCGTAAAAGCCACTAAAGCTCTGTAGCATATGGCAGCGTATTCTAGAGCATCCAGGATTAGCATCCTGAAAAGATTAGCACACTAAAAATATCAGGACTGAAAACAAAGACTGAAAATCAGAGCATGCACATTATTCAAAATCTTACCGGTAGTCTCAACAATTCCTTCAAGGATGACAACGATTTCAAATTGCTCGCTTCTCAGTGATCTTTGCGAGAGACAAAAGAAGGGGCTCTTTGAGTTAATTTCATGACAGATCGTTAATGGGGAAACTAAAAACAGCTGGTCAGCTCCAGTTCCAAATCCAACATCCAGTTCACACTGGTCTAGCGGCAGAAATTCTCCCTCTGGTGTCTGTCTGGACTAAAGATGAAAAGAGGATTTAGTAATCACCATGTAATGCAAAACATGAAATCAATGCAATGAAGTTTAAACCTGCCTCTTTCACAAAATTACCATCTACATATTAGGTCTGGGGTCCTCATAATGTCATTATAAGTAACACTAAATACTGTAAGGCTACTATATATGACCAATTTTTACTTTTCTTATCATGCCACTAGATGTCCTCATCATCTACAACATTTACTATGATTGATACATATGTATAGGTGAAAACATCGGGTACCACACTACACGCCTTGTAACGGATGTTCACCATAAACGTCCTGTGGCAAAAATTCCCATTGACGAGAACAAAATCTACAAGCCTGGCACACTGTAATGCCTAAATTCATGTTTCATTATTGTTATACGATACTAATTTTTTTTTGGCAGACACTGTGGTGTACTAACTCACATGTAAGCATCATAGTAATTGTACAGTATGTCTGGTAAGTGACATTTCCACAAAACCATTGGAATCGATATTAATGACGCTATCATCCTTTGCCAATTTGCATGTACCACCTACTTAATAATAAACTTATGATCATTATTAAACTAAGTACCTTGTTTTTATTCACATTATTTCACAGGTCCAATAAAAATACTGATATGATAGCTTATCCCCACCCTGTAGTGCTCCCTCTATATTTTCCTGGTATTCAAAGTAAATTAGATCAGTTGGCCAGGCAGCTCCTCAGCTGATTGCTTTAAAGGTCTCTGGTGGAAATTGTCCATTAAAATTAGAAGCTTTGCAGAGCCTATTTAAAATCCTTTCTGCTTATCGCTTGATTAGAAAGCACTTAACTCCTTAAGAAGCCAACTATTGATTACAAATGACAGATTATTCTGTAATTACTAAATAGTTTTAACTGTGTTGCATTGGTACTGACAAATGTATTGGTTCCATTGCTTGGAAACTCCATTCATTAGTCCTGAGAGCAAGCTGAAGCTAGCAGTTTTGTTGTTAGCTTTGATTGATACTCTTTTAAGAAAGTTTCTGTCTTTAAAATAAATCCCTAAGCAACTAGTGTACCTTCAGATTGTCTCAATACTTCACCCGTATCTTAAAAATGCTGAATTTTTAACTGCCTGGTACTTCCTGGTGATTACATAAGTAGTTAGGTAGCTGGTAGAGTACAGCTCCTTACTAAATATGATGCATTATTTTAGTTATGTGCTATGTGTCTGTTCTTCTGCTGAGGATAAAAAAACCCCTCCTAATCTAAATAACCAAGTTCTCCCTCACACAAGAATCAGTTTCCTCACTACTGAGGAGGACGGGGAAAATGTCAGCTGATTGCTTGTAAAAGCATTCTCACAGATTATCTGTGCTTTGAAAGATAAAAGGCAGTGCTACAAAATAAAAGCAATCAAAACCACTCCTACGTAGCAATTGTGACAGTCTCTGTTATAGGCAAAGGCGTAATGAACCTATTGCAAAAACATCTTTACTCTTTTCCTGAGGGAACCTGCAGAACTAAGCTGCAGGCTACGCCACTGCTTTTATTGCCTGGCTACTGTACTTTCAGCAGATGCACAAATTGGTTGGCAGTGTACGATCTTTGCTCCAAGGTAACAAGGCTCTACATGAACTGTATGAACCAACATCTAAACCTCACATTTTGCCAAAGTTTTATCAAATACAATTACCTAGACAAAGATGTGCATATTTGCACAAATTGCTGCCTGAATGACTTCAGATCTGTTTCATCTACAAACCATTTTTCTCTGTGGAAAAGTCTTCAATCAAATCCACTCAATAGTAAACAAATCCAGCTAGGACGATTAGAGGTAATGGATCTAGGACAAAGCAAAAGGCTGTGTTTGAGGTATTCGGTATCTTACATACAGGACTGATTCACGCCGGGCATGGAGAATTTTTAAAATAAATTTATTTGTTAAATAAAAAGAAATCAACCTGAATGAAGATCGCTTAATAGCCCTTATACGTTAAGACTTCTAGCCAGCAACCTTTGTTTCATAAATATAGCTTTACTCAAACGATCGCAAAACAGGGCAGAGGACTACTGACTGTCAGCAATAAGTTTGGGAGGAACAATTGTGATGCTTTATTTTGACCACCCGCATAACACAAAGCCAAATAAATTCTGCAGAATAATACATGCTTGAACAAGAGCACAATTACTTAGAAACGCTCCACCTTTCATTTTAAATGTGGCCAGAGATGGAGAATCCAAAGGTCTAGATGAGTTTCTCCACAGGATAACTGCCTCACAGCTAAGAAAAAAAGACTCCTTCTGTGTCTGAATTTTTCCATCTTTAACTCTCTGCCACTGTATCTTTGTTGTGTTTCCTATTACTAGGCAGACTTCCACTGCATAACAACTTAGTCTGTTTTTGTGTCTGACCAAACATTTTATGCCCTTTGAGTCTTCACTCCTATCCTTTATTCATTCCTGGCTCTTTTCTAAACCCTGCTGTTTATCTCTAATTGGACACAACACAGTTTTATTATTAACCCTCTTTCAGTCCACTCATTTAGAGAGCTCACATAATTATGTTTTGATACCCCAGGTGGACTACTTAAGCATTGGAGTAGAAAACACAGGATGCAAAAGACAGATGATCATTGAGCTAAATATTGCAGTACATTGTAGAGAAACAGAGGAATCTAGAAAATGCTAAACGGGTACATGCTAATTTGCCATGCAGTATTATGGTATTTCCAGTTCTGGTATTTGAGAGGAAAAAGGCTGATCTCACCTGTCTGTGCTTCTGCCCCACCCTTAGACTAGCAGCTTGCAAGAACATTTATTATGTACTACATAACTGAAATAATAGGAAGTTGTTGCTTTGATACCACTGTTAAAGAATTCTAAGGTTTTTTGGTAGTGACACTATATCTGGAGCTCTAGCTCAGATAATTCCTAGCATGACTGCTACTTTTTAATATAGTCTAGTTGCCTCAAGCTGTAAATACAACTTGAGTGAGCTGGGCTTGTTCAGACCAGAGAAGAGAAGGCATATAGGGGGATATAACAGCAACCTTCCAAAACCTAAGAGGAAAGCAAGCAAGAAAATGGAGCCATGCTCTTCACACCAGTGCATAGCAGGAGCAAGAGAGACAACAGGCTTAAGTTGATACAAGAGAAGTTTGGACTGGACTGAAGGAAAACTTTTCTATCATAAGGACAGTTAAGCAGTGGAAGAGCTTGCCCGGCAAGGCTGTGCAGTCTTTGTCCTTCGAGGTTTCCAAAACCAGACTGGAAGAAGCTCAGAGCAACCCAGTCCGACCTCCTAGCTCACTAGGCTTTGAGCAGGAGGTTGGACTAGAGACCTCTGGAAGTCCCTTCCAATCTTAATGATTCTGTGATACTAAAAAACATATTGTTTGCACCTTCTGCACGTGCCCTGCTTATCAAGTTATTGAGATCACAGTATAATGGGTCTTCTTACTTACCCGCAATGCCTGTTATCTATCATCTGAGAACTTTTTGTTAAAATTACGTTTGCTTTTAGCTTATTCAAAGCTGTTAATTAGTACAGCTCAAAGAATAGGTGCCTGTTGGTCATAACTCAAAGTGCACTGGCTCCATGGCTACTATGCTTCACAACTGTATTTTTAAAATTATTGCTTAGCATGTATTGAAAGCAGGCTACGATGATTTTACTTTCCTCGGCTTTCTGAATCAAAATGTCCTACGCTACTAGGTGAAACACTTTACAGACCACTTTACACACCAACACTATCATGTTTATCAGTGACATCTGTAGTCCCATCAAAAGATAAAAACAGGTATTGTAACTAATTTTTTAAAAAATCACCACTGATTGCCATACAGCAGATATTGGTTACTGCTGCTATCACCACACTGCTCAACCGCACTAACTGGAACTAACAGGCAGAAAAATACAGTTCACTGTGACACTGAAAAGGCCAGGACCTGGAACCACACATTTTCAGCATCTAGTTATAACCAACTTCTTTCTATTTCTTGCCCTGCTTCTAGAGGACTCAACATAAATTAGAAAGACCTGGGTTTCTCGAAAAGTCTTTGCTGAAACATGCACGCTTAGTCTTGTAACTCTGTCTTCCAAACTCTCCATAATTCAGTCCAAACAGGGCTGCAGACTTCCCTGTGACATCACTACACCATGCTGCTGGGCAGTCCCCTGGACCAATAAAAGCCAGCACAGTGTGGTGGCACCACTGTAATCTACCAAATATCCTAGGGCATATATCACACTTTCAGCAAATGCATTCAGACAGACTTAGATTGGTATACTTCTTTACAAAGGTAAATCCTTGGGGCTCCATTGGTCCCACTGAAACACTATGTTCACTACTAAATATGGCTCCTATATCAAGTACAAAAGTGTGATAAGACATATTTCTTCACATTCTTTCACTGTGACACAAGTAAAAAAAATTCCAGATATCTAATTGGAGAAGTGTTGCAAGATCAGCTGTCTAATTGGAGAAGTGCAGCAAGATCAGCTGTCAAGGGCACTGCACAAGGCACAGTGGAAAGAGCACAAATCACAAAAAGGCAAAACTCGCTAAAGAAAAATGGTAAGCAAGCTCCGGCACATTCACTGTAAGTTTACAGGACACACAAAGCTACTTCAAAGCAGCTGATGTAAATTCACACACGGCTGGAACAGCCGCTGACTGCTGGCATAGCGTGTCCAGTTCAAGGGGCATCTCAACAAACTGAGAAGGATTTACAGAAAGACACAGAAACCAATACCACATCTCTTAATGAGGACTGAGGAGGCAGCTAGTACACATTCACTTTTAAAGTTTCCTGTGTCCATCGCTTATATTTGCCACATGCCGCAAGCAGCCTGAAAACAAGTCATGGGCATTATGATCGTTTGAAAGAAATGAAGTATTACTCACTGATTCGTTGTCTAGTCCATGAAACAGCTATCATAAGACAAATCAGTCAAGCAGGTACATCAAATCTCCTTGTGTTTTCTGTCCCAATCTTCTGCACACCAGCATTGTGTATCAATAGAATTATCAGCAGAAAGCACACCAGGTGGTGTGTTTGGTGCCTTATTTCAAAAGAAGTTTATAGCTAATTACTATAACTGTAAAAACACAACTGTGATACTGCTTTTATTCCACTTTGATTTGCATTCCATCTTGGATGAGATACAGAATTAAATACTTTCAGGGAGGCTTTCTGCTAATTTTTAATAGTTGGAGATCAACAAAAATCACAGGTTAGCTGGCTTTCGAATTCCTACAAAAATCACTCCATTGCAACTCCCGACAGCTTATTCCCATATATATATCCAACCTCTTTTTGAATCTTAGCAGATTCTTCATTTGAAATGGTATTCTATGGCAAGAAAAATTAACAGCTCAGTCAAGCGTTCTGCACAGAACAGAAGGAACACAGCCTTTTGCATTTACCATTGTCCTGGCACCTACTGTATCAACGCTTGTTTCAGCAGATTATTAAAATGGCCAAACAACTGCTCCAAAGAGAGGATTAGCATAGAGAATATAGAACATTTACAACATTCAAATATGATATTCTCCAATTCACATCATCACTGGGATACAGCTTCTGATGCTCCCCATCAAGAATGTTCCTGTGACCAGACGTAGCTGCTATGTTGCTTCATCTCGGCATGCCACACACAGTGTTTTCGTTTCATTTGACTCCCGCCCGATGCGTCTTTCAGACTTCAGTGCCCATCAAACCCTCATGATTTCTTTGGTTTTTTTGGTTATGATCTCCTTTGAATTGCAGTTTTCTTGTATTCTGAATTATGCTGACCATTGTCAGTGATTAATAAATAGATACTGGTGACAATCAAAGGGACTTTCCACTAAAGCACCTGTACAATCCCTCTGAAACACTGGGAGGCCACTGGCTGGAACCATGGGGTAAAGAACTACAAGTTCCCCAAGGGGAAGAGGAGATCAAGGATTATCTTTGTCCTAATTTAATGTCACCACAAAACCGGTATAATCAATTTCTTATTCCTAGCTGTCACCTGCTAAGGGGCATGCCTTAGCATCCGTCCCTGCAGCTTATCCTTTCTCCTGACACATCGATCCTTCCTGACGAAAGTGGCTTCCTGCCAGCCTCACAACCCACGAGAATGATCCTTGGAGCTCTTTGATGAGACTGCCTTTTCCCATATGCCTGCTTGGCTCTTTTGTGGCTTGCACTATGGGCAGCCACAGCAAATTTTTACGCAGCCCTTCATATTGCCCTGGCCACAACCTCTCGCTCACATGCCAAGGGACAGGGCAGCTGCCCCTGGGACAAGGCAGAGCCTCCCAGCAGGCAGCAGCAGAGGCTGCACAGGGGAAGCCCCACGCTACCCATACTATGGACATGTGGTTGCACTTGGATGGCACTGTGCTCGCATCAGCCACCACAAGCCATGTGCTTCATCCCGCCCGCTGTCGCACCAGGCCTCACCTTGATCAGCTTGCAGCGGATCTGGGCAGACACCATGTGGCTGTTGCGCAGGTTGCCCACACGGAACATGAGGCAGAGCTTGCCATCCCGCTGCGAGACTACTGCGGCACGGCTGAACATAAGGGTCTCAGCTCGCTTCTTGGGCTGGGACATCTTGATGAACATGCAGCCAATGAGGAACGCATCGACGATGGAGCCCAGCAGCGACTGGAACAGGAAGAGCACGATGCCCTCAGGGCAGCGCTCGGTAATGTAGCGGTGCCCGTAGCCAATTGTGGCTTCGGTCTCTATGAAGAAGAGGAAGGCGGAGGGAAAGTTGTACACGTTGGCCACGCATGGACTGTACGTGTCGTCATGCGCCCGGTGCAGGTCACCTCGCAGGTAGGCGATGCCCCACCACATCGAGGCCATGACCAGCCAGGCGACTGTGTAGGTCAGCAGAAAGATGAGCAGGTTCCAGCGCCACTTGAGGTCCACCAGCGTGGTGAAGAGGTCGGAGAGGTAACGGCTGCTCTCACCACCAA